AAAGATAATAAATAAATATTTTTTTTAATTCTCAACAGAATACTTGCAAACCGCATACAGACACACATCAAAAAGATCCACTATGATCAAGTCGGCTTTATTCCAGAGATGCAGGCATGGTTCAATATATGTAAGTCAATAAACGTCATAAATCATGTAAATGGACTCAAAGACAAAAAACACATGGTCATCTCAATAGATGCAGAGAAAGCCTTTGACAGAATTGAACATGAATTTATGTTCAAAGTCCTAGAGGGAATTGGACTGGACATACCTCAACATAATTAAAGCCATATACAACAAACCCACAGCCATCATTATAAATGGAGAAAAACTGGAAGCATTCCCGTTAAAATCAGGAATCAGATTTACACTGTCCACTATCTCCACTCCTCTATAACATAGTGCTTGAAACTCAAGAGCAATAAGACAAAAGAAAGAAATTAAAGGAGTAATAATTGGAAAAGAAGAGATCAAATTATCCCTTTTTGCAGATGATATGATACTATATTTAAGAGACGTGAAAAATTCCACCAGAAATCTCCTAGAAATGATTAACATGTTCAGTAAAGTAGCACGTTACAAAATTAATCTAAAAAAATCTGTAGCCTTTCTTATATACCAATAACAAGCAATCAGAGAAAGAGTACATGGAAACACTCCCTTTCACAACAGCCTCAAAAAAAAATAAAATAAACTATATCAGAATAAACCTGACCAAAGACATTAAAGAATTCTACAATGAAATTTTTAAATCTTTAAAGAAAGAGATTGAGGAAGACACCAGAAGATGGAAGGACCTCCCATGCTCATGGATTGGAAGAATTAGTATTGTGAAAAGAACCATCCTACTAAAAGCCATTTATAGATTCAATGCAATGCCAATCAAAATCCCCCTGACATTCTTCACAGAAGTGGAAAAAAGCATCTTCAGATTCATATGGAAGCACAAAAGACCTCGGATAGCCAAAGAGCAACCCTGAGCACTAAGTGCAATGGTGGGGGGATTACTATACCAGATTTTAAACTGTATTACCAAGCTATACTCAAAAAAACATGGTGTGGCACAAAAATAGACCTGTAGACCAATGGAACAAAACTGAAGACTCAAATATGAGTACATGCAATTTCAGCTACCTGATATTTGACAAATGTGCCAAGAACATTTGTTGGAGGAAAGACAGCATGTTCAGCAAATGGTGGTGGCAAAACTTGATCTTCTCCTGTAGAAGAAGGAAACTAAACCCCTGTCTATCCCCTTGCACAAAAATCAACTGCAAATGGATCAAAGACCTCAATGTGAATCCTGAAACTCTTGAAACTGTTAGAAGAAAACATTGGCAGTAACCTACAAAATATAGGTGTAGGAAAGGATTTTCCAAACCGGACATCAGTTGCTCAGGAAACAAGGTCAAGAATCAACAAATGGGACCTCATTAAACTAAAAAGCTTCTGCACATCAAAAGAAGCAACCAAGGAAGTGGAGAGAAAACACACAGAATGGGACAAAATCTTCACCAGCGACACATCTGACAGAGGTATAACATCCAGAATATATAAGGAACTCAAAAAACAAAGAATCAAGAAAGGAAGTAACCCAATTAAGATGAGCTTAAGGAGCTGAACAGAGTTCTTAAAAGAAGAAATAAAGATGGCTAAGAAGCATCTTAAAAGGTGTTCAACATCATTAGTAATTAGGGAAATGCAAATTAAAACCACTTTAAGATTTCATCTTACTTCAGTCAGACTGGCTAAGATCAAGAGAACAAATGAGACTAAATGTTGGAGAGGATGTGGGGGAAGGGGAACGCTTATCCACTGCTGGTGGGATTGCAAACTGGTTCAACCCCTATGGAAAGCAGTGTGGAGAACTCTTAAAAAACTACAAACGAACCTACCATTTGACCCAGTTATACCACTCCTTGGCATATACCCAAAGAACTCATCCTACTGCAGAGACACATCTTCATCCATGTTTGTTGCTGCTCTTTTCGCAATAGCTAAGAGATGGAAGCCACCTAAGTGTCCCTCAGCTGACACTGGATAATGAAATGAATAATGAAAGTGTGGTACATTTATACGATGGAATTCTACTCAGCAGTAAAGAAAGATGAAATCATGAAATTTTCAGGTAAATGGATGGAACTAGAAACTGTTATACTAAGTGAAGTAACAGATTCAGAAAAACAAATGATGTATGTTCTTCCTCATATGTATATCCTAACACCAAATCCTTATAAATATGTATCCAGATATAACTACAGAAACCAGGGTAATGAAAAGGAACAACGGCAGTAAAGGAAAAAGAACCTGAAGGAGAACAGTAGAAAACAGGTGTTAATAAGGGAGATATGGATAAAAATGGGGTTATTTTAATGGGAGGGAGGAGGTTATACAAGGAACATTGGGGATAAAAGGAAAGGATCTCAAGAGAGGAGAGACCATAGGAGATGGGTATTAAGGGAGAAATGGGGAAAATGGAGAAACCCTGGTGGAAGGGTTAGACAATGATACAAATAATCCCTACCTAGTTTTTTAAAAAAACAGAGGGAACCATATTAGTCCAACAACCTACTGACAAATTATGCATACAAGTAGCTCAAGGAACATAATATGTCTAGTCAAGGTTTATCGGAGAACACTTGGTTTTTGCCCAAGCTTTATCTATGTAGCACGTGAGACTGGTGGAACTAACTTTCTGGGATGTTTGACAGCCATACTTTGAGGCCTACTCGTCAGAGGGACTTAAAGGACAGTTTTTGTTCCTTGCCCTCCAAGGTCTACTAAGTTCCAGGGAACTACAGAGCATCTCTCAAAATGTCCTGTTTCCTTGTAGTCATCCTCTGGCTCTTAAATCTTTTCAACACCTCTTCCACAATGATCCCTGAGCCATTGGAGGCAGTTCCCTCAATTTTTTAATGTGTCTGGGTTGTTTCAAAATAGCCAATCTTTGTGCACAGATTTTTTTCTCTGTCTTTCTGCCTGGTCCTTTTTTTTTTTTTTTTTTTTTTGAGACCAGGTCTCACTTTGTAGCCCTGGTTTTTTTTTTTTTTTTTCCATTAATTGAGCTATTCACTTGAAAATTTTCTGGGATTTTTTTTAATGACTTCCTTCCTCATTTTATTAAATTTCTCATAAATAGTCATAATGTCTCTCTTTTTTCTTTTCTGTTTACTTAAGTTTTTGAAAGGTCGTTATTTTAGATTATTTGTCAGGCAGTTTAACAGGGTTTGAGAGTAATATTCCAGTCAGTATAGGATGCAAAACCTGTCTCCAAAGAATTTCTAAGTCACCCATCATAGCATAGCTCCTGAAGTGGAGCTGTCATCTTTCATCATTGGGCCTGACTTGGTACATTTGGATAAATTTTACATTACTTCCCTTTTACAGGGTACTCCAAGACCAAACCAGATTTGACCTTCAAATTGCAGCATGGATTTGAGTCATGGAATGTATCAAAAGCCTCACTCTGGAATCTCCCAGGTCTGTAAATTCATACTGGGCTCGGGAGGTGCACAGGAAGACAGCTCATCAGATACACAGTTCTCACCAACTTGTATCAAACCTAGCCCTGATCTCATGGATCAGACACTTTATGTAATTTTCAAAACTGTTCCCCATGTGTTCCCATTTCCCTGTTTTTGATGCTGGGTATATTTTCTTAGATTTGTCCAAAGTCTCATCCCTGTATAGGTCTGGCAAACATTTTTTGTTGGTTAGATACTTTACCTAAGAGCCCAGGTTCCACCACGCCCCCCCACCCGGCCTTTTTTTTTTAAAAGCGGCATTTTTTATTAGGTATTTGTTGACATAGTCTTTTACCATTTACTCTTTGATTACCTTATGTGCAATTACCTTTGTATTGTGGGGATATCAGTAATAAGAAACATGCATTCTCTTAAAGGATTTATGTTCAGTAAAAGAGTGAAGGGAAAATATGGGGGGATAAGGGAATGTATGGTGGTGAGATGAGAGCCACAAAGAACGTTTACCTGGAGAAGATGGAAAAAAAAACATGGGTTTTTATTTTTAAATGACGGAAAGTAATAGAGATTTTAAGGAATTATTCATTTATTTTAGTTGAACCTGTGAGATGCCAGTTTTCAAAAATTGGCATATGATACATTGGTGGATATAAATTAAAGACTATAACACCCATGATTGGAATAGAGATACAACTTTTAAAATCAAACTGTTTTATAATTTTTTATTCTTGAGAATTTCATACATGCGTATGGTGAAATATGATCATATCTTTCCCATTTCCCTTTCCAGCTCCCCATTTGTTCCCCACAACACATCCCCTCCCAACTTCACATCTTTTTTTGTTTTTGTGTTTTGATAGCCTACTAAGTCCAGTTAGGGCTGCTCATATGTGCATGGGTTTGGGACCATGCACTGGCACATGGGAAACTACCAGGGATCACATCCTACAAAGAGTCTGAGTCTTCCTCCCTTACCAGCTACAACTGCCAGTAGCTTCTCAGTAAGGGGTGGGGCCTGGAAACATCTACATCACTTGTCCTGGGATTATGGCTGCCTTAATCTTGTACAGGTAACCATAGCAGCTATGAGTTCATGAGTGATAGCCATGTCATATCCTGAAGACAGCATTTCATAGCCCTCTTCCACATCCTCTGGCTCTTACTGGCATATTTCCTGAGCCTTGGTGTTGGTAGGCTTAATACAGATAACCTGTTTACAGCTGAGCACTCAGTGTCTTTTTCCCAGCACAGTAAGCAATTATGTATCTTTCCATTGTCTGTTGCCTACTGCAAAAAGAAGCTTCTCTGACCAAGGTTGAGAGCAGCCCCAGTCTATGGAAATAAATATAAATATTTAGCAGCAATTTTACAGCATGACCATTTAGCAAAATAATAGCAGGTTCTAACCTAGGGCTTATGACCTCCCCAGCCATGAGCTTTGACCAAGATTGCAGTACCAGACACTAAACAGTTTTAAATATAGTTATTGTTGCATTCATCTGTGTAATTTATGAGAACAAGAGAGCATCTGGGTCTCCAGGATAAGATGGCAGAGTAGAAATTTTCTCCATTCTATGGGAATGATAAGAGTAAAAGTAACAAAGGAAAGGGTATTGTATTAATCACTTTTCTGTTGCTGTGATAGAAACACTGACCCAAGAAACTTATAGAAAGAAGAGTTTGATACTGTTACAGGGGAATTACAGTCTGTCATGGCAGGGAGGCATGGTGGCAGAGGTGGCTGGAAGGAGCAGCAGAATCTAAGCTCTCACATCATCATGCAGGCACAGGAAGCAAGATAGCAACTGGAGATCTGGCAAGGCTTAAGAACTCTGTAAGCCCATCCCAGTGACGTGCTTCCTCCAGGATAGCCACACCTTCTAAAACCTCCCAAAACAGCGCCACCATCTGGGGACAAAATGTCTAAACACTTGGAGCTTATGGGGAACATTTTCATTCAAACTATCACAGATATATTCAAGGGAGAGGAAGAGAGGAAGGGTTCTGGGGATCAAGAACAATGTTTCAGGACAGTTATAAAGGAGAAAAGCAATGCAAAGGAAAGTAGAAAACGGTCCACACTCCTAACCCCATCTCCCAGGTGGGAGGGAAGCCCAAAACCACAACCACAGGGTAAGCCAAAGGCATGTAAAGAACTCCTGTACCAATCAGCTAGTATGCCTGGCCACAGGAAAAACCTGTGTTGCATAAAATATGAAGTCCAGTGGTCTAATCTGTCTAGCACTGACTCTTTGGCAGACTAGGCTTAGAGGAGAAATTGATTATATTTACCAACTATACTAGTTACTTTTCTGCAGCTGTGATAAAACATCATGACCAAGGCAACTTATAGAAGGAAGAGTTTATTGGACTTACAGATCCAGAGGGATAAGAGTCCATCATGGTGGGGGAAGTATAGCAGCAGAGACAGCCAGAGCAGAAAGCTGAGTAAGCACATGAAGGAAGGAGAGAGAGAGAGAGAGAGAGAGAGAGAGAGAGAGAGAGAGAGGCTGTGAACTCTCAAAGCCTGACATGCTTCCTCCAGCAAGGCCACACCTGAAAGGTTCCATGACTTCCTCGAACACTAAAACCAGCTGACCAAGTGTTCACATACTTGGAGCCTATGGGGAACATTGTCACTGAAGTCACCACACTTACATATCTTGGAGTGCCTTCTGTTCTTGGAATCTGAAAATAAGCACTCCCAATACCAGGAGGCTGTTAGCACATTGATAGTCTCTGTGTCAGATGGCCACGAGGAAATTGTGGAAACTGGCAAGATAAGATGCAGAATCAGTGAGAAATGTAAAAAGCAGGGAGTTTGAGGTGTACAGGGTTTGGTGGTCTTTACCCTGTGAGAGGAATGAGCCATGTTCATTGCCTGTGGGTTACTTCAATGAATCAGAAACTTGAGCCCAACACTGGCAGATTGCTTGGTCTCCAGACCCTCCTTCCAAGCTCCATGGCGTTGGCTGCACAGTCAGACCAAAAACCATGACTATAGGGTCTAATAGATCACTAGATTTTCAGTCTGTCTTCTTACTATAGTGTGATTTGTTGTCAGTAGGGTCTGAAAGCATTAAGAGGAGCAGGGTCTGAGTTTCATCTGGTCTTCCATAGTTTAGTACCCTTTGACTTGAACTTAATGAACTCAGTGAATGAAATACGGGGCCTCTGGAACTGATCTTGTTGCTTGGCCCACACACCAGAGCTTGTTGATATCAGCAGTGGCTCCTTTTATGCAAACAGTGAAGTTTCTTAATTGAATGCAGCCCTGATAAAATTACCGTGTTGGGCCCAGCACTCAGCCAGCATGTAGCCCTGAGTGGTAAGAGAACAGAGGAAATACATAGCCCCCGACCTCTGCTCAAGGATTCTAGTATTAAAGGACCTAGATAAAATGCATCTCTGATCATTTATTTTTCCTTTTTTTAGCCTGTTTTTGTTATATTGTTAGTGTTTTCACTTTTGTTTGTTTTGAGACAGGATCTCCTTGTAGCCCCAATTGGCCTGAAACTCTATGTAGACCAATCTGGCCTCAATCGCACAAAGATCTGCCTGCTGCTGCCTCCCAAGTGCTGGGATTAAAGGCCTGTGCCACCATACTCGGCCCTTGTTTTCACTTTAATAGTTGAGGTTTCTTGTGTTTTTATTTTTATTGCTCTGTGTTCCTTTGTGTAATTTTATTTTCCATATTTTGTAATCAGATTATCACTTGATTTTTTAGAATTCCTTTCCTCTAGTGTTTCTTTCCTTTTTCTTATTTTTATTTTACTTATTTTACTTAATCTTTTTTTGCATTTGATTACCAATCCTGTTCCATTCTTTTATTCATTTTACATTCATTAATTTTACCTCCGTAATGCATTATTTCTTGCATGTTCTTTCTGCAGTTATTGGTAGTGTGACAGGAGTTGTCTTTATTTTACTTTTATTTCTATATCTAGAACATAGAAGTGTGTGTGTGTGTGTGTGTGTGTGTGTGTGTGTGTGTGTCTACAGTTATGGCACTTGGTTTATTTTCCTGTGATAGTGTTTTGGGTATTGAGGGTACAGGTGAAGGCTGCTCACCAAGATGGAGATTAAAGACATGGAACATATAGGCCATAAACTACAAAATGGCAGAAGTGTAGGCAAAGAAGCGCACATCCAGGGCTAGGAGGGTCTAGAGCCACAAAGTGACATGGCCTGCAAATGTGGTCACTGGAGTTAAAATTCCAGGAGTACTGAAGGAATTCCAAAAGCTGCAGAGAGAAGTGCTTAGTTAGGAACTGCTTGTTAGCGTAATGATCTCTTAGCAGGAAATATAAATACTGGCAAGAATGGATCATTGCGGGCTGGAGAGATGGCTCAGTGGTTGAGAGCACTGACAGGTTCAATTCCCAGCACCTATATCATGGCTGACAACCATCCATAACTCCAGTTCTAGAGGATCCAACACCCACTTCTGACCTCTGTGGGCATTGAACAACATGAGTGCACTGACATACATGCAGGCAATATACTCATACATACAGAATAATAATAAAATATTAATGGCTCACATATTCAGTCTATAAAACAAAATAACTGTCAAGCAATGTTATTACAACCAGAAGAGTTATTCTTTAATTATTTATTTAGTTTTATTTTGTGTATAAGTATATTGCCCACATGTATGTGAGTGCACCCATGTCATGAAGTGCCTGCAGAGACAAGAAGAGGGTGTTGGATTCCCTAGAACTGCAGTTACTGACAGTTGTTAGCTGCCATGTGGATGCTAGGATTCGAACCCAGGTCTTCTGCAAGAATAGCCAGAGCTCTTAACCACTGAGCCATCTCTCCAGCCCCAAAAGAGTTATTCTTTAAACTTGAAGACTTAACCTTTCACAATACACGTAAACTAAATCACTCTGTGGCCACTAAACCACCATTGCAGAAGATACTTAAAGGAATATTAGACACATAAAAAGAAAGATGACCATGATAAGAGAGCCTGGGAAAGAATAAATCTCGCCAGTAGAATATAGGATATACATTAAAGTGGAGAAATTATTCATCACTATTTTGTAAACCAGCAAACCTCTATGAAGAAGATAACAATGCAAAAGGTAAGTGATCTTATCTTTCCAATGAAAAGATGCACACTGGCTGCCCAGATCACAAAAAGACATCCATCTGCTTGCTGTCTGCCCAAATTCACTGCACTGATGAGGACACACAGACTGAAAGAATAGAAAATGATACTTGAAGCAAACAATTTGAAAGAAAGCAGTAATAACTGTATTCATGCCAAAGAAAGACATGTCATTATGAATTTTACTGCACATTTAATAATGGGATAACTCATTAAGAAGTCACATCAATTATTACCATATATATGTACTATTTATTGGTGCACCCAATTTGTTAAAACAACAATTATATATCAAAAGGGCAAGATAGGGAGCTGTGGAGATGGCTCAATTGGAAAGTGTTGCCATGCAAGCACAAGAACCCGAGTTCAGTCTTTATCACCCACATTAGAAGACCAGGCATGCCAGTGCACACCTGTAATCCCACTGCTGGGGGGGGGGGGGGGAGACAGGAGGATCCTCTGTCTCACTGGTCAGCTGTGCCAAATCAGAAGTTCCAAGTTCAGTGAAAGACCTTGTCTCAGAAAATAAAGGGAAGAACAATGGAGGAATAAATTCAACATTGTCTAGCTTCCACATGCATATCCACACATTTGTACCTTCACTTGCACACAAATGTATACACACACCCACAGAAGGACCAGCTGACACTATACTAGTGGGTGATGTCAGTACCCCATTCTCATCAAGAGATAAGCCATTCAGACAGAAAAGCTAGTAAAGAAACATTAAAGTTAAACTTCATGTAGCTCAACTGAATTTAACAGACATTTACAAAGTATTCTATCTCATAGGTATAGAATATACATTCTTGTCAGAAGCCCATCATGGAACTTGTCTTAGAAACTGATCACATTTCAAATGATAAAACAAATAATAACAAGCACAAAACATAAAAAAAAATTTCTTGTATCTTTAATCAAATGGAATAAATGTAGAAAGCAGTATCTAATGGAACTAAATAAATAATACCCATATATGGAGATTGGATTATATAGTTCAAATATTCAGTGGGTCATTTAAGAAATAAAGGAGCAAATTAAATGCCTAGAAGCAAGTCACCTTGAAAATATAGCCTACTAGAATCATTTGGTCAAAGTAAAGGGAATGCTTAGGGGAAAATATATAGCTATGAATGTCTACATTAAAAATAAAAAAGTCAAATCTCATGGGCATGGGCATGCCTTTTTATTCCAGTACTATGGAGGGAGGGGAAGGCAGGTCTTGGTGAGATTGAGGCCAGCCTGTTCTACATAGTGAGTTTGAGGCCATCTCGTGCCTGGATAGGGAAACCCTTTCTCAAAAGAAAAAAAAAAAGAGATAAAATCGCCAACATGTGCATGTGTGAAATCTCACATAGAAGCCCCCTATTTTGTATACTAATAAAACATCCAAAATAACCTAATGATGCACCTCAAGATCAAAAGATAAGAACAATTCAAACCAAAAACAGACAGAAAGAAATCATGAAAATCAATGTGGAGATTAATAAAATGGAAACCAAAAGAACAGTAAAAGGATCAGTGATGCAAAGAGTTGCTTCTTTGAAATGATACATGGGATTGATAATGCTTAGACAAATTATCCAAAACAGACAGTATATTCAGATTAATAAAATTAACAAGGAAAATGGGATGTTGCAACACATACCACTGAAATACATGGATTATTTTGACAGCATATACCAATGAAGTAGAAAAGGTATGCATGGTCTACTAAAATTGAACCAAGAGCATATAAATAAATACTCATTAAACAATGATATGAGAAACTGAGGAAGAAACTAGAAAAAGGAAAGATCACTCACGTTCATGCACTGGTGGAATTACTACTGAAAGAAAATTGTCTTTTTCAGGAAAGGAATCTATAGGTTCAGTGCAATCCCCAGGAAATGCTAGTACATATCATAGAATTGAAAATACAGTATTAAAATTCATGTAGAGGAAACACGAAATGGCTAAAAGAATCCTGTGTAAGTAAATAGTAATGCTGGCACTATCACAATAACTATTTAAATTGTGCTACAAAAAAATGACATCATGCTGGTCCCCAAATGGTTACATAGATAGACCCATGGACTAGAATAAATGATGAAGTAGAAGTACATTCACACACACGGCCATCTGATTTTCAACAGTTACCAAAAATCTAGAGTGCTTTCCTAACATGCATGAAGACCCATGTTGGCCCTCAGCACCACATAAACCAGGGATATTGGCCCATGCCTGTGATCTCAGCAATTGGGAGGAAAGCATCTCAGGGTATACACATGAGCAATGATTTTTTTTTTAATATGATGGAAATAACTCAGGAAATAACTGCAAAATATTGCCAAATCTGAAGGCTGTAGCGGTGGCTCAGTGCTTAAGAGCTTTTCATCCAGAGGACCCAAATTTGGTTCCCAGAACCCAGATCAGGCAGATCTCAACATGTATCACTCCAATTCCAAGAAGGATTCAATGCCTTTTGCAGGAAAATGGATGTAACTGGAGATAGACATATTAAATGAATTATCTCAGACTCAGAACAACAAATGCCATATGTTCATCTTAGATATTTTAGAAAATAAAATTATATGTGTACTAATGACATGAAAGTAGAAGCCAAAGTATTTGGGGGACAATTGTACTAATGACAAGGAAGGTGAGAATAGGCAGGATAATGAACTAAAAAACATCAATTGGACATTATTTTATTCTCAGTGATTATAAGAAAACTGTGTGTGTATTCTAGTTTTGTAAAAATATAAATATGCATTTATATTCACAGAAGGATTCTCTGAGGAATAGTCAATAAAATACTGTGTCAGTGGTGTTTCTATTTTTACTCAGATAGTATAATAGACATGGAACAGGGAAGAATGACAGCTAAAAATTGCTGTGTGGAAATCTATAGCTGGGAAGTTGGTGAATACTTTATCTCCACATGTTTCAGCAGAGAAAATCAAACAAAAATAACTCAGCACTGGATATTTGCTCGTGTAATTTGTTACATTAATTCATTGGGACTAAAATGTATATACATAAGAATATTTTAAAACTTACAGCCAGGCATGGTGGTTCACCCATTTAATCCCAGCATGCAGGAGGCACAGGCAGCTAGATCTCTGTAAGATCAAGCCCAGCCTGGTCTGTGTAGAAAGTTTCAGCCCAACTGGAGCTAGAGGGAGACCATGTCTCAAAAAAAGAAAGGAAAAAGGAAAACCCTACACTTGGAGCATAAAAAAGCACTACTTTACTTTTATATTTGAATTGCCTTAAAAATTCTTATGTATGACTCATGGATATTGGTTTTTAATATCATTTTAGATGTCCATAATATGAGAGACCTGGAAAATCAAGAGACACATTTGTGGCAAGTTGAAGTCTCCAACAGCATCACATCATATGAACAGATGGTTGAAGTACGTGAGACATTTAATGTGAGCTCAAACCGCATTTCAACACTAAGGAGTGTTATGCTTCTTCAGGAACTTAATATGGCAAAATATACTGCTTCTCCACAGTGAGACTGATGAGCTGCAGGCTGGAGGAGAACCTGATCATTTTAATGTGATAGAGAAACTCTTCAGATCTCTGAAACATGAGGTCTGACAAAAATTAAAATTTTCAGTGTCATTCTCAGTATTTTGAACCAGTGAAATCTTTCCACACAAAGCTAATCTTACTGATACATAATTTTATACATGAGAGACACCTAATAAATTCAATATGGTAATCCTTAATGTTTACAGGACAATATTGTGTAGCAAGACTAAAGTCAGTAGAGAATATCAAGTACACATAGAGCAATAGTATAAATCTAGTGATTATGTGAAAATTTTCATTAAGAAATCAGACCTAAAAATGTCAGGATATAAGGAATAAATCAAATTCTTTTATCTCCAGGCAGAACTGAAGATTCAAGAGAAAATCCATCAATGGACAAAACCCTATGAATATAAAGAATATGTGGAAATGTTTTGTCAGAATTTACAGCAAACCAGAAATCATACATCTTGCACGTATGAGAATCCCTATAAATGGGAAGAATGTAGAAAAACTTTCTATTATCAGTCAACACTCACTCAGCATCAAAGATTTAATATAGGTGAGAAACTCTGTGAGTCTCCACAATGCTGGGAAATTTTCCCCTGGAAGTCCCAACTTAAGAGTTTTCATGCAGGTGAGAAACGCTATGAATGTGAAGAGTGTCAGAAGTCTTTCCACCGTAAGGCAAACCTCATTCGACATCAAAGAAGAACTCATAGCAGAGAGAAGCCTTATGACTGTATGGAATGTGGGAAATCTTTCTACTGTAAGTCAGATGTCACCCGACATCAGAGAAGAACTCATAGCAGAGAGAAGCCCTATGAATGTATGGAATGTAGTAAAACTTTCTACTGTAAGTCATATCTCATTCGACATCAAAGTAGAACTCATAGTAGAGAGAAGCCCTATGAATGTGTAGAATGTAGTAAAACTTTCTACTGTAAGTCAGATCTCACTCGACATCAGACAACTCATAGTGGAGAGAAGCCCTATGAATGTAAAGAATGTTCTAAAACCTTCTACTACAGATCAGACCTTGCTAATCATGAGAGAACACATACAGTTGATAATCCCTATGAATGTAAAGAGTGTAGGAAAACGTTCTGCTCCAAGTCAAGCCTCAATCAACATCATAGAATTCATACAGGTGAGAAGCCTTATGAATGTAATGAATGTAAGAAAACCTTCAACTCTAAGTCAAACCTCACTGAACATCAGAGAAGAACTCATAGCAGAGAGAAGCCCTATGAATGTAATGAATGTTGGAAATCCTTCTACTGTAAGTCAGAACTCACTAATCATCAGAGAACTCATACAGTGGAGAAATACTATGAATGTAAAGAGTGTAGGAAAAATTTCTACTGTAAGTCAAACCTCAACCAACATCAGAGAACTCATACAGGTGAAAAACCCTATGAATGTAAAGAATGTAGTAAAGCTTTCTACTGCAAGTCAAACCTTAATCAACATCAGAGAACTCATACAGGTGAAAAACCCTATGAATGTAAAGAATGCAGCAAAGCTTTCTACTGCAAGTCAAGTCTCGTGAAGCATCAAAAAATTCACACAGGTGAGAAGCCATATGAATGTGGAGAATGTAGAAAAACTTTCTATCAAAAGTCAGATCTCACCCGACATCAGCGAACTCATACAGGTGAGAAACCCTATGAATGTAAAGACTGTAGCAAAACTTTCTATTGTAAGTCAAACCTCAATCAACATCAAAGAACTCATACTCATGAAAAACCTTATGAATGTAAAGAATGTAGGAAAACTTTTTACTCAAAGTCAAACCTCACTGAACATCAAAAAACTCATACAGATGAGAAACCCTATATGTTTAATATCGATTGTCAACTTGACAAGATCTGGAATCACCTGGGAGACAGGCCTCTAGGCATGCCTGTGACAGATTATCTAGATTAAGTTAGCGTCTGGGGATGTCTGTGAGGGATTATGTTGATTAAATTAATACAAATGGGAAGATCCACTTTAAATGTGGGTGATACCATTCCCTGGGCCCAGGTTATGAACAACATGGGAAGGAGTGGCACCCTTCCCTAGGCTGAGGTTCTGGATTACATGTAAGAAAAATAGATGGGCATGAGCATTCGTTATTCTCTGCTTCCTGACTCCAGATGCCACTTGACCAGCTGCCTCAAGCTCTTGCCACCATAACTTCCCCACTATGGTGGCTTGTACCTTACACTGTGAGCCAAAATAAATCCTTCATGAAGTTGCTTTTGTCAGGGTATTTTGTCACAGTGACAAGAAAAGTAACTAAATAGGAAATTGATTCTGAAGTAGGGCCTTGCTGTCATCAACTTAAATACATGGTTCTTAGGCCTTTGGTAGTTGCTTGCCGGAGGAATGTGAAACTGAAACTTAGGGCTAAACAAACCCTTCAAATCCTATAAACAGAATTTAATGGTCCATTCTGTTAGAAGTTTATAGTTAGGAAGCAGTGAAATGTGCTGTTGAAACCTGGCTCATGAAGTTTCAGAGGGGAACAAAGACTATCAGGAGCTGGACTACAGGCCATTTGTGTTGGCCAATAATCTGACTACATTCTGTCTGTGTTGTAAAAACTTAGTAAAGTTGTACTTAAAGGAAATGGACTAATTTGGTGGATAAAATTTCAAGATAGTAGCGGAGTCATGCTAATACATAGATACTATTCACTGCACTTATAAAAGTCTGCAATGAAAAAGATAAAATGTTTGGTAGAAAGATAAAAATGTGTAGTTTGTCAAAGATTAAAAGAGCCAAAACAAATTAACAGTTGTGGGCAACCATATACTGAAAAGAGGCTGTAATTGTTAAAGAGAACCATCCTGCACTGCAACAGGACAATAGGAAATGTGCCCTGAGTGCAGGACCCCACCAGGCAAAGATTCCACTTGGGAAAATGTAAACTTATTTGAAAAGAGAGTTTGAACTGAAATGCAGCTGAAGAGGTTCTCTCCTCCTTGAAGACAACCACATAGGGAAGTGTTTTTCCATGGTTAGCACACAATAGCTGATACAACTTTGGCCCAAAGGAGCCAGTTTACATCTCTTACTAGCAGCAGCTCTTGGAAGTTTGTCTACATGGTACTGGTTTACTAGATATGAAAGGTGTGCAATATGGTATGATTGGGAGTAGGGGGGGTCATAGAGTCTTGCTTCTCAGTTTCAGAGAGCACCTGAGGCTAGACAGTGTGTGACAAGATTAGAGTCTCTTCAAGGAGGCCCTTACTGGCCACTGCATGCAGCTGTGAAGATGAAGCCTAAGTTACAGTGGAGACTGGTATATTGGAGATTCCAGGACCATGGGACATTTGCAGGAAAGTTGCAGGAATGGAGTGGAGCCATCCTAAGAGTTTGAGTGTCTTACAGGTAGCAAAGCTGGGCCGATAGGGCTACCCAAGCACTTTGAAGTCCAGATGATTCTGCTATGAGCCTCTGATGCTGGACATGGCGATGCAGGATTGTGTTTTCCCTGCTGAAATTTAGCCTTGATTCTTTTTTTTTGTTTTGTTTTTTTGGAATGGGAATGTTTAACATGTGCTTTTATGTATTGGAACTATCACTTGTCTTTTGATATTATAGGAGCTCACAGTTAAGAGATTGCCTTGATCCTCAGATGAGATTTGTACTTTGGATATTTAGTGTTAGAACTGTTAAGGTTATGGGACTTTTGATGTTGTATTTAATGTATTTTGCATCATGAGATGGTCATGAACCTGTGTGGTAGGGGGTGAAAGGTTCTAGCTTAGCAATATTCTTAAATGTTTAGGAATGGAGTTGCGATGGTTAATATTCATTGTCAGCTTGACAGGATCTGGGATCATCTCAAACCTCTGGGAATGTCTGTAGGAATTATCTTTATTAGGTTAATTAAGGTGGAAAGACTCACTCTACATGAGGGCAGCACGATTCTGTGTTGGGGTCTGGACTGCATACAGAGGAAAAAGGTGACTGAAAATATGCATTCATTGTTCCCTGCTACCTGAGTGGATGCCACTGGACCAGCTGCCTCAAGCTTCTGCCACCATAACTTACTGCTCTAAAATGGATTGTACCCTTGAACTGTGAGCTGAAATAAACCCTTCCTTAATTTGCTATCAGGGTATTTTATCACAAATACAGGAAAAATAATACACCCTATGAATGTTAAGCATACAGGAAAACTTTCTACTATAAATCAAACCTCATCTGATATCACAGAATTCATATGGGTGAGAAGTCATGTGAATATAAAGAATTCACAAGGAACCTTTTCTACCAAAACTCATACTTCAACATGAGATGATTCATGGGTGAGAAGCCCTAGGAGTGTACAGAATGCAAGAAACTTTACCATAGGAATTCAGTCCTTACTTTACATCAGAGAACACATGTGGGTGACAAACTTCAATGGAGAGAATGTGAGGCAAGCATAATGGGAGACCTCAGGCCTGTCCATTGCCCCAGTGAGGACTGTATCCCCTGGAGGCTCCTCACAACCTGGCGAGCACATGCCTTGGAGACTCCAGCCAGGTCCGTTTCCCTAGGGAGCACACTTACCCCATCCCCATGTGTCACACTGAGCATAGTGCTCCTGGGTGGTTCCCACCCTGTCACCTAGGTGGGGCCTATACATCTGGAAGCCTTCTTAGTTTTGCAGTTCCCTCTGTGTCTTGTTATGTTACTTTTCTTGCTTATTAGCTAGAGCTGTTAACATATTTTCCGAAGCATTTTATGTGATCCGTCCTTGTGTTGTTTTATATGTTTAAAAAAGGATATTATAAGACGTGGCAATTTTTAAGTTATGGAGTGTTGTATGCCTCATTTTAGGGCATGTAATGTGTTTCCATGGGTACATATGTATATATAAACATCTTAAGGAAATTTAACCAAAAAAATAAGTTTTTCAAACCAAAATAAGATACAATCTTAAAAACAAATTAAAACACTCACTTTAAAGAATATATAACCTGCTCAAAGACAACCTTTGAAGATTACCTTAATGTGTTTTCTTGCATCATAAATAGTTATCTTTTATAATATATTTAGAATAATAACATACTTTGATGCACTGTACATGTTTTCTGCATTTCTGACTCAATTTCCTGAGTTCTTATTTAAAACGCAGTTGTTTTATTGTCAAAAATGTGTTGTCAAGATTTTATAAACAGGCTGGAGAGCTGGCTCAGCAGTTAAGAGTCACCGACGTGGTGGCTGACAGCCATCTGTAACTCCAGTTCCAATGTATCTTGTATCTGATGCCCTCTTCTGACCTCCACAGACATTACACAACAGGGGTGCACCTGCACACATGCAGGCAACACATTCTTATACATAAAATTAAACGAAAAATTTTAAAAGATTTTATAAACAAAATTGAAAGAAAATCAGATGGAAATAAAGTTAATACAAAATATATTTATAAAGGTTAAGGAAAAATGATTTTAGACTAGGAAAATTTTGTATAGAGAATTATTACAGGTTGTTATATAGGCGATCAAACTGGGTGATTAAAGTATGTTGTAAAAAGTTTGTGAAATTTACACCCAAAGATAACATAGTTACAACTGAATTATAATTGTTATTAAAATTCTTAAAGTGAAAAAATACTCAAAGATAAAATTCTGTTTAGAACAGAAATATTTTTATAAACTATGATCTGCTCTTGAAAATATTTTTTAAAACTCACTTTAAGAACATGACTTTTTATCTATTTCCTCATTGAATAAAGCCTCCACTTTCTGGATAGCCACTACCTTAATAGTAGGAAAAATTCTATTTAAAATAATTGTTCCTACCTGGGGCATCCCTGTCAAACTATAAAATTATAAAGCTTATTTTGGTGAACAAATTAAACATTTCTAAATTTGGCACATTATACAAAAAAATTCCTTGTTCCTTTGATTTTCAGTCCTCTAGACCTATCAAATATGCACCTGCCACTAATAAAGTGTCAGAATTAACTAGGGCTTCAATTAGTTCTTCTAAGCCTACAGTACAACCTTTTGGGAAACATCTGTATGTGAAGTACTAAATATACTACAGGAAAATTAAGTAAAAACCATATGAGCCATTGCTATTAAAGGTAAATATATATTATTATAAGGAAGTCTTAAATATGTTAACTAAAATTTCAGAATTGCAGAGTCCTCCCCACAGTAAGTTCCTGGGAGACAAATAAATGATTTCATTAAGTGAAAAAAGACAAAATTTTTTAGATTTTTTTTTTTTTTGTCTTTTTGAAGCAGGGTCTCCCTGTAGCCCCAGCTGTCCTGGAACTCACTATGTAGGCCAGGCTGGCCTTGAACTCAGAGATTTGCCTGCCTCTGCCTCCCAAGTGCTGGGACTATAGGTGTGCGCCACCATGCCCGGCTTAGATTCTTTGTCAGAAATTTTTTAAATTTTGTTTGACATGTCACTGAATCATGAAAATGTTTTGTTCAGAATATTATGTGTTTTTATATTAACCATGTTTTTATTTAACTAGCCCTCACCTTACTTAAACCACACTTTTATGTTTACAAAGATTCAAGATTTT